AAACAGTACTGGAAAACTGTCCCGATCCACTGAAAAAACTTCATGTATTATATTATACGAAAACGTATAACCACGAAATGAAATGGAACCAGAAATTATTGAGTCCATCATGTGCTGAGTTACACGAAAGCGCTCAAGTAATTTCTAGTTGCATTTTCCTTTCGTGGTTACGGCATCCAGACTAGAATGTAAGAGAATCTCTATCTGAATCATAGAGCTATCTATCATAGAGCTTTCAGGGAAAGATGTAGCAGCTGTTCGCGCCGAGTTGAGTTACCTAGGTGTTCTAGTCAGATTTCTTTGGTAAGATCATCAGGAGCAGAGGACGAGGAAAAATAAGGCTGGTAAAGCATTTTTTGGAAGCTGTGCGGACACCAAGGCCACCAGACCTGACGGGAAAATTAGTTTGTTTACATTGTGAGTCGTCAAGTAGGTGGTTGGGGTCTTTGTCTGGCTTGAACTTCAGGATAATGTTATACTCGCGTAGTTTAGTGCTGCTGTGAGATGGAATGGCACAGTGGCAACACACTCGCCCCCCACACCTCACCAGTGATTCCGTCCAGGTTCGACTCCTGAGCAGGGAGGATTGTCTGGGCGTCAAACCTCAACAGTTCGCGTCTGTTCACCCAGCAGTAACTGGGTACCTGGTGATTAACCGATTGGCGGATCGTGTTCCAGGGAAAACTAGGGAAGTAAGACTTTCCATGTGCCATGGGAAGGAGCCGCTCTCATCCTGCTAACAGGAGTCACAAGGGATCTGATCCTACACCCACGCCTGAGGTTGTAGGATCCACCATTTATTATATGAGATCCACTATAAGATCCTATTAATAGGATCCACCTATTAACCCACAAAGTTGCTTTAAGCCAACCGCCAGGAGAATGTTGACAGGTTTGTGAGCAGCAGTTTAGTCAATCCTTTCAGGCATTCGTTTTAGGTCGGTGAAGTGTGCATCTGTGATCTCCCAGATTGTCTGCGATAGTAAGGAGGCGTCCAGGAAGGTGCTGTCAACGGGATTAAGTATGTGAGTGTTGGCCAGGACTGTTTATTATCAGCAACACTTGGGTGTACGATATCAGCAACACTTGGGTGTATCGTACTGATGAACGTGTCTGTGCCATCAGGATCAGAGAAGAGCACTTTCCCCTGAAGAGTAGAGGGACTCTGCCACAGAGACTGGTCACTGGGGGTCTGGTAGGGAGGTGACCCAGGGAGGTCCTCAAATATTTACTCCCGTTGTAAGTCTACGTTTTCACTCTTATTTTGGAAGGCTTTGTGGTGATGAAAGGTTTGTCCTAACATGCAATGTTTGTCTGTTATCTCTTGCTTTATCAGTTTTGTTTTTCTTTCCTGTGTCGTTTACCTCTCTATCTGACTCTCTGCGTTTGCGCGCAAAGACGGGCACTGTCAAAACAGATGAGATGAGGGACTTGAAGAAGAGACGGACTCTTCCATCTGTTGTATCATGATGGAGGAAGTGTACATGTTGTCGCTCTCCTCTTGTATTTCCTTTATGTTGTTCTCTGTGCCTTCTTCATCTCTAGTATTCTAAACTAGTTCTTCCCAGAGTCCCCTCCCCCCCCCCAGCCGAGTCCGTCCCCTATATATACAGCCCAACCGAGCGTCTGTTTATGTAAATGATGTGTCTCTTCTGTGATGTCTTGACTGTAGAAACCGCAGTACGTAAGAGGATTTCGAGAAATTCAAATTTTTATATGATCACATATTTGGGCCATTCGATGGGATCGAACTCGCGTCCTTGGACTTCCAAGGGCTAACACCCATATATATATATCATGTCACGTTCCTGTTGTTTCATCCTGTTAATATATGTCCACCTTATTGTTGCTCTCAGCTTATGTTGGCCGCGGGACCTGCCAGCGCCATAAGGTTGAGATGATTTCGGGGCTTAGCGATCCCGCGGCCCGGTCGTCGACCAGGCCTCTACGTTGCTGGACTAGTCAACCAGGGTGTTAGATGACCAGTCCTTGAGGCATCCTTGAGCAACGTGATGTTTTTTGCACTTTGAATCGTAAGGTTAAAAAATATAGACAAATTGGCACAAACATTAAATTTATTAATATAAACGTATTATGGAGCGGTTAACATGTTATTGGTTTTGGTTTTCTTCGGGGATCTTGCCGAAGTCGGCGTTGGAGAGGTCGTAGAGGGTCTCGGCCTGTTCGCAGGGGAAGGCCTCCAGAGGGTGGGAGCAGGTGAGGGACTCCTGACTGAACACCGTCTGGTTGCCGCAGAAGAAGGAGAACTGGGCGGTCTCGACCACCTCGCCCAGGTCGTCAGAGATGGGCAGACACACGTGGAATACCCGGCAGTCGGTGGGCACGTCCGCGTAGTAGCCGTAGTTGCGGCCGGCGCACTCGAACGATCGTGCAGGTTCAGCGCCCAGCACTTCCAGGTAGCCGTCGGAGAACTGGTAGGCCATCCTGGCGGAGGCGGCGGCGGCGAGGCACAAGACGGAGACGATAACCTTCATGTTGGCTGAAATGAAAGATAAATAGTATGAGATTCAACTCCGTATTTCAGGCTATATAGTCGTTATGGCTTGGCGTTTTCCCCCTGATAATTCCCTCCAGCCATACATGAAATACGGAGTTGAGTCAGAGTCGTAACACTTTATAAACAACACTCCGACTCTAATACATTAAAAACAAATCTTTGAAGCTGTTAAACACTAATTTGAAAGACAACAAGAAGAAGTTCCAGAAAGCAACTGAATGACTAATTATAAACAAAGACTGATGAGGTTCCAGGTAGTCTCTGGAGCGATAATTATTTATACTCTAAAATCATAGTAAACAGTAGCTGGAAAGCAGGACCAAGAGATTCCTGAAACGTTAAGTAGCAAGACGCGTCTAGATATTGCAGTCAGGCTCGCCGGAACCCTTCTGAAGGTCCTGCTTACACTCGTCACCACACTGCCTCCACATTCTGGCAGTATTAACGGCCAGGAAGCTGGAAATACCGTGTGTGTGGCTGACAATTTGGATGGATGAATTAGCCTGCATGATGAATTAGCCAGCATGATGAGTTAGTGAAGGGTACACGGCCTGCTAGATAGCGTGGGTGATAATAGAACACGCTGGGTGAGGCTTCCTCCTCCTAAGTCTACTCACTGGGTAAAGCTCCTGGAAGAACTGATGGAAGCAAAGGTGGCCTCTAGCCTTATATACCAGTCACCGACTCGTTCTCCACCGCCTCCTATCCTCTACCCTTTCCCTCCCTCCACCACTCGCCAGGGTCCCTCGGTGCCTCCTTCGTGTTGGTTTTGACCCAGTCGTAGAGGTCAGAGGTCACAGGCGGCTCGTGAGGGTCGCCAGTAATGACGTGGTCGTCTTGTTGCGTATGTTGATGTTGTTGAGTTGAGAATTTGGCAGTATTATTAGCGCTTGTGGCTGAATTATGACTTTTAATTGTGATAATGATCAGATCATTATGACCCCTTCTCTCGCTTGTGTCTAGACCCAGCGTAACTCTCACCTTCACAGATAATATCACTCTCATTCACTATCACAGCCCGTCCTCCTGTAGCGAAAGTACTTAGTGGTACTTTCCACCAAAGAGTTACTATATGTAGTGATGGACCATCAGTAAACCGCCTTTTGAACTAATAATTGTATAGTCAAGGTATTAAATAAAGGTAAAGCCACACGTAAATATTCGTAGGCCTAGTATAGCATGTCTATGTACGATATTAGGCCTAAGGAACTGTATTAGGCTAGACTTGCTAGGATAGGTGCGATGAGGTCTGTCCAAATTCAATAATACAAACGTTTACTTTCTGACGGTTCAATACGACATGTTGGTACTTTCCTGCAAGTGGTTGCTGTAAGTACTTTTGTTTGAGGTGGCTGCGTTGTCCTGTCGTCATCTCTGTTGTGGTGGGGACCCCATCCCCCCCCCCTAGGGTGCCAGACCCCCCTTGTGTGCCAGGCCTCCCTGTGTGCTAGAACTGGGGGGAGGTGGGGGGGAAGCTGTGGGCAGCCCAGTCCCGACCCCACTTATTCTTGACAATGAAATAAGTTTATTGAGGCATACAGGCAAAGGGATGAGACAGCTAAAGCTATTCTCACCCTGTGCAGTACAATGTTTGTGTGTGTTTACAAACACAAACGCGTGACCTATTCCTTAACTTTCTGGGTGATAAAAACGTACATTTCTTGGTGTACACCGGCAGTCTTATAAACACACACACAAGTACAAATACTTTAATAACTAAGTCCAAATACATAGATATAAATACTATTTAAGAGACTAGAGACAGACCTTAAGACATACCAATGAAAAGTTTACAATCTTGGTGCAAAGAATCTTCGTCTTCTCACCAGAATACCATCAACGACTGAGACACACGTGCGGGCTGTTCAGGACCAGTTCTGATCTCGTTGTGTCTATGTACACGTCGCTTAGTTTTATTGTTAGTAGTTCCTAGTGTTCCATATTGCTAATAATATTTGTACCCAAGCCTGAGCCCCCTTGGTGCACAGTGTCGCTTCATGCATTTTTTTGTTGCTTTTCCGTCAACCGGTTATGATTGGTTAGTGGGTAATTATTTGCTGGCCCGCCTCCCATTCCCTTACGACCCACTCTCTCCCCTCTGCCTCCTCTGTCTCCCCCACTCTTTCTCCCTCTGCTCTACCTCCCTTCCCCCCCCCTTCACCTCTAAACTATCATCCTTCACTACTTGATCTCTACTCTTTTCCTTCTATTATTTATTCTTCCCCATCCCTTCCATTTCTCCCTTTCTGTGCTTTCACTCTGCCCCCTCCTCGCAGTCCCACACCCCTTTTCCTATTCTCTTTCCCTCTTATCCCCCCCTCTTCCCTTTCCTCCCCCCCCCCCCCACCTCTAGGGGTCACCACTGATGATGGATGGTGGAGTTATTAGGGTGTAATTGTTTCTTTAGTAGAGGTTTGTGGTGAATAGACAATCAAGGTGAAATGTATTGAGGACGAATTGTTGGGGGTTGTTGGTATTGTGATGGTTGGTATTGGTGGTTGTTGGTGTTGGTGGTTATTGTTATTGATTGTGGTTATTGTAATAGACTGTGGTTGTTGATATTGTGATGGTTGTTATAGGTGATTGTTGCTGTCGGTGGTTATTGTTATTGTTTGTATTATCATGATTGTTAGTCATTGTTTGTACTTGTAAATATAATTTTGTATTTTTTCCATTTTCTAACTCTTAGTAATTAGTAAATTATTGTTAATCCTGTTTTACTTAACAAATTTGTTATTGACCTTACTTGTTTGAATTGACGTATTCCGGGGAAAATTAAGATGAAGGACTTGCCTAAGACGCTGTGCGTGTTAGTGGCTTTATAAGAATGTGCAGTCTCCGTGGTGTAGTGGTAAGACACTAATTTGGCGTTCCGTAGCGCTATGTCATGGGTTCGTATCCTGGCCGGGGAGGATTTACTGGGCGCAATTCCTTAACTGTAGCCTCTGTTTAACACAACAGTAAAATGTGTATTGATGAAACTTCTTTGAATTGGACGTATTCCAGGGAAAATAAGATGAAGGACTTGCCTAAGACGCTCTGCGTGTTAGTGGCTTTATAAGAATGTAACAACTCTTGTATATTGTAAATAAACAAAATAAAAAATATGCTAACGGCCGTTTGGTTACTTCCGTTGATTTTGTCTTGTTAAATTGCAATGTTGTTAATTTGCATTGTCTCAACCCGTTCTGGCACTTGCTTACGTTCATTTTGTCTTATTTAATTGCAATGTTGACTTAATTTATATTGTCTCAACCCGTTAAGCACTTGCTTACAGTCAATATTGGCTTATTAAATAAGCCAATATTGACTTAATTATTACTTAACTTATCAACCGTATAGGATAATAATTGTAATTAAGAAGCAATAAGATGCTTATCTTAACATACTAAGAAGGTTAGGTGAGGTCGGTGTTTTCTATGAAGCTTTTCAAGGTAAACTAAAATATTCACAATCAATTAGTATATCACATATGCACTTATTAAATAAGCCAATATTGACAGTAAGCAAGTGCGAGAACGGGTTGATTATCTTCAGCTCAGAACAGCAAATAACATTACTTTGCTCTTAAAGGCAAAATAATCCTTTAATTACTAAACCATTCACAGGGCAGTTAAGAGGAGCAGCAGCTTGCATCTCCTCCTTACTGGCACTCTGGTGTCCAGCGGTGCCCCCAAGGAGGAGGCGCAGACAGTATTGAGGAAGTGGCATTAACTTCCTTCTTCTGTACATTGTAACTTAGAATACAATTGTTTTCAACGGTGAGACGAACTTCGAGATGACTGATTTAGATGGTGATGTGTCACTGGTGATCGGTGTCCATTTTACTGTGCTGCTGCAAGGTGAGATTGTTCATAATTGTCTGCAAGCAAGTTGTAAATGTTATCCTGCCGGAGGTTGTAAATGTTATACTGCCGGAGGTTGTAAATGTTATACTGCCGGAGGTTGTAAATGTTATACTGCCGGAGGTTGTAAATGTTATACTGCTGGAGGTTGTAAATGTTATACTGCCGGAGGTTGTAAATGTTATACTGCTGGAGGTTGTAAATGTTATACTGCCGGAGGTTGTAAATGTTATACTGCCGGAGGTTGTAAATGTTATACTGCTGGAGGTTGTAAATGTTATACTGCTGGAGGTTGTAAATGTTATACTGCTGGAGGTTGTAAATGTTATCCTGCCGGAGGTTGTAAATGTTATACTGCCGGAGGTTGTAAATGTTATACTGCCGGAGGTTGTAAATGTTATACTGCTGGAGGTTGTAAATGTTATACTGCTGGAGGTTGTAAATGTTATACTGCTGGAGGTTGTAAATGTTATACTGCCGGAGGTTGTAAATGTTATACTGCTGGAGGTTGTAAATGTTATACTGCTGGAGGTTGTAAATGTTATACTGCCGGAGGTTGTAAATGTTATACTGCCGGAGGTTGTAAATGTTATACTGCCGGAGGTTGTAAATGTTATACTGCCGGAGGTTGTAAATGTTATACTGCTGGAGGTTGTAAATGTTATACTGCTGGAGGTTGTAAATGTTATACTGCTGGAGGTTGTAAATGTTATACTGTCGGAGGTTGTAAATGTTATACTGCTGGAGGTTGTAAATGTTATACTGCTGGAGGTTGTAAATGTTATACTGCCGGAGGTTGTAAATGTTATACTGCCGGAGGTTGTAAATGTTATACTGCTGGAGGTTGTAAATGTTATCCTGCCGGAGGTTGTAAATGTTATACTGCCGGAGGTTGTAAATGTTATACTGCTGGAGGTTGTAAATGTTATACTGCTGGAGGTTGTAAATGTTATACTGCCGGAGGTTGTAAATGTTATACTGCCGGAGGTTGTAAATGCATGAAAATGCACACTGGCTACACTTTTCCAGATTTACATTTAACTAGGCATTCTTTGTGGTGTTTACTAGATATGCTTTGGTTATTTTATTATGTTAGACACACTTTGCTGTGTGTGTGTATGGAACCGCTGCCAAGTT